TCCTGACTTCAAAGTTTCAAAAGGCAGTAGTATAATCTGAGCTTTTCATGTCCAGACTTTTTAAAACCCGAAGTGTGGGCCAGTGGGTGGCATGGTGGTTAAGGCAGTTGGATCCTACATGGCTGACTGTGTAGTTTGAATTCCGAACCTGGCAGTTTGAAAAACGCTGTATGCATGTGCATGCATGCCCAAAATCCCTAGAGGAGAATACAGGAGAAGGGACTACAACATTGCAATGCCCTCTGAGGGGTATTTATTTCTCACTTTCTGCACCCCCCCACACACATACACTCTGGTGAGAACACATTCCTTACAGCAAATTCAAAATAAAAACAGAGGGACCAGCAGTTAGCATGATGGCTATGTCACTGGACTCCTACATAGTCGACTGCGGTTCACATCCTGGACCCGGTGGCTTAAAACTCACGCCGGGCACGTGTGCGTGCATGCCCAAGATCCCGAGAGGAGAAAAAAGGAGAAGGGATTGCGGTGTGGCCATCCCCCCTGGGGGGTGACTTCTCACTTTCTGTCTCTCTGTCTCTCTGGCGAGCGCACGCACCCTATAGCAAAAACCTCTCCAAAAAAATAAATAAAATAAAAATAAAAACAGAAAAGCCTGAAGTGTCCTAGGCCTGCACCTGCACAGCACAGGTAGAGGGGTGGAGTGTGCACATCCTAATGGGAAGGCAGAGAAAAAGCTGAAGCCAATGCCAGCCCGGTAGTTACACGGTCGACCTCCAGCGGTGGGAAAACGCCCCATCCCAAAGCTGAGGCTGGTTCTACACGAGGGTACTCTTACAGACTCTGAGCAGGCCCCTGGCCCTTCTCCACCAGAGTGCAACATATGCTGACACTCTCCAAGGGCCCTCTTCCCAGACTGCACCAAGGACCAGCACTTCCCTCAGGCCAACTATTTCCCTTTAATCTTCCCTTTAATCTTTCCTTTTTCTTGATATGCCCCTCTTCTCAGACCCACCAGGAAAACTTCAGGCAAAGCTTCATAGCCACCCTGTGCCACTGAGCTAGTGAACCTGGTCTTCCAACTACACGCTACAACCTCAGTTCCTATACCTGTGCAAATGTCACTCCTCAACTCCACACCAGCTCTACCCTCCCACCATGCGACAGATGGAGCCCTCTGAAAAGGACATTTCCTATTCGACTGTGCAGAGAAACACCATCAAGCCACATGGGGAGCTTCAAGAAACACCAAGTAAGAGAAGGAAGGGTAGGCCAGGTAGGGAAGGCAAGCTGACCGAGGGCCAATCCCATAGCAAGTGCTGTTTCTTAAAAACATTCAGGGAGAAAGTGAAATCTGCACCCACTAAATTAAAACCCACCTCAGCAGGCTCTGTGACTGCAGCATCAAAGCCCATGTAAACCTGGAGTATCAACTCATCTGGCTTTGACAAAAGATGGACACAAAATACTTCTGTCAGGATGGGAGCAGGTTTCTTTTCTCCGGTGGGATTTCTCCTGCCACTTCAGTTCCCATTTCTCAGTGCCTCACTAATCAGGCCCTTTCCAACAGAAGCGATGTGAAGCCAGTCTGAGGGGCTGGGGAATAAGTACGGCAATGAGAAGGAGCCGCAGCTCCAGGAAACTAGAGTGTGAAATGAAAATATTTGCTGAATTCTTTAAACTAAGTTAAATCCGAAAATAGATGTCAAAATAAGAAGTAAGCCACATACTAACAAGTTGTGAGTGTCAATTTAACATCGCCCTTGTCAGGCTCATGAGCAGCCTTTACAGGGCGCATAGAAAGGTGATGGCTCTGATGAGAGCCATCTGACGAGCCTCTGACGAGAGGTTCCAGGAACACCGATAAGCTGTGCACTGTCACGCAGCACTACTTAGGTTTCCTCTCTGGCTGTTTTTATTTTGTTACACATTTAATTAAGAGCCTTCCCAGCAGTTCTGCAGAGTCCTGCTTCTCCAAGGCAGCCACAGAGCTCTCCTCCCCCAACCTGACACCTGCTTCCTTCCTGCCCCCGCTTGTCCAGAGCGTCACTGATCTCAATCCCACCCCAGACCAGTCACCCACATTTGCCCTACCTGTGTCTTTTGGAAACTATGTGGAACCAGATTTCAATTTTGTCTAGCTATGCACTTTACCTTGGTGAATTTCAGGGGCTGTTTTGTTTGTTTCCTCGATAATAGGGGGTACAACTTCCTACTAGATGGTAGAAAGGAGGGGCAAATGAAATAAAGCACGTGCTCCTTTCATATATGCTTGGATTCCACAATCCAACCCCTTTTCCTGATTGTATCACTTCTTATAAAGATGCAAAACCACCTCTGCAGTCACCAGTATCTGCCCAGGGCCTACGGCTGCAGGGCGGGGCCCTAGGGCTGGACTAGTTAGTGCTGCAGGCCCTAACGCACCAGACCCAAAGACAGCATTCCCTGAGATTTCCCCTTCCATCTCATCGGGAGGACCTACTCCAAACACAGGAGGCCTAGTGGACAGTCTCCTCTCCTGCACTGCAAAGTTTGCTTACATACACAGTCACATGTTGCTTAATGATGGGCTTATACTTTGGGAAGTACAACGATGGGTCTTTCATCACTGTGAGGACATGCAGTGTTCTTACACACAGCTAGATGATTTCGCTTAATACCTAGACTATATGGAGCAATCTTAGGAACCGCCATTGTACATGCAGGCAATATTGACCAGAACGCTGTTATGTGGTGCGGGACTGTCCGTGTGCCCATGTACAATTCTAGCAGAAGACTGAAATGCACTGTTTGGAATATGAATGCACTAGAAAGCGAGGAACGCTGGAACAATAGGAGTTTTGTCATGGTTATCTGGAGGAAACAGACCTCTGGATTGAGCCAAAGGGCCTTCCTCTTGGTCCACACGAGCCCCAGAACTTGGTATCAGCTTGAATCCTACCTCACCCTCAATGGCTTCTCCTGGGCTGCAGGGCTCCACAGAAGACCCTTCTCAGCTTCAAGGGCTCAAACCTGCCCAGGAACATAAATAAGAACCTCTATTCTGGTTTTGTAACTCAGCAGTTACGCACCATGATAGGAAGTTGGATCACACAGTGCAGGCCATGGTTTAAAACCTGGCCCTGGAGACTTAAAAAAAAGGCCAGACTTTTAAAAAGTGGCATGGTGTTAAAGATCCTGGACTCCTACATGGCCGACTGTGGTTCAAGTCCTGGACTTGGTAATTTGCTCTCTCGCTCTCCCTTTCTCTCTCTCTCTGGTCAAATTTTAAATAATAATAATAATAATAATAATAACAACAACAAATGGAATTACATAAATAAATAATTCTTTTAAAAAATGCCAGGCAAGTACACTGCTCAAAATACTGTTAGGATGGAGAAACAGAGGAAAAAGGATTGTGGTGTGACCATGCCTCACTAGGGGGTGTTTTCTTTCTGATGAGTGCATGCACAAAAAAAAGAAAAAACAAGAGCCTTCCTCCTCCTTACCTTCTCTATGGGCCTCTCCTCTGATTCACATTTCCTTCCAGTCCCAGCCTATATAATTTCCCTGACAAATACGTGTCATCTGGGACTATGAAGACCCTCTATAGTGAACGTAGAGGTGTGAGTCCGTGTTTGTACACAAGCTAATGGGTGTGGCAGATAAGGGATGTGTGCTTATGTGATCTGGGGTTTGTATTCCTCCAACCTCACCTAGGAAGTTGACACCCATCTGGGCATATAACTTCACCTCAATGCCCAGTATCCAAAAATCTAAAAGGGACCTTGGTAAGATACTGCCTGATTTGGTAAGAAATGTCACTTTGGAGCCACTACTCTCTATCCACACCAACACCCCACTTTACGGTTAAAGCTCAAACACACACACACATGCACACGCAGAATGCCTGCTGCTGACTTCAGTCACAAAGAACACAGAGGTATCGATTCTATCAATCCTCAGCAAACAGTGCCCCCACCACCTCCACCCCCCTTTAGTTCCCTGGGGGCTGTCTGAAGCCAGGTATCCATAAGGCCAGACGAGATGCAGAAGTGTCAGCCCAGCAAAGGAACCAGTTCTGTCTTCTACTACTGAAGCAGGATTAGGAGACAAAGGAAGAAAAGCAGTGGGGACAAAAGAAGAAAGGCTAGAGACTTGGGCAGTTTTCTAAAAGCAGACCGTTCTCATTTACCACTGGACTCTCAGTTGAGTCACCAGGGTCTTGCATTCCTGATAAAGAGGTAGCACAAGAGCAAGAACCCTGCAGTCTGGTGCTCGCATCTGAATCCTGGCTCTGTGTGTCCTTGGGCAAGTTACTTAACTTCTCTGTGCCTTAATTTCCTTCCTCATCCATTAAGTAAGAATAGTAATAGTACCTACTTTATAGGATTAATAAATGAGTCACTGTATGTATAGTACTTAGAATAATTAACACTATGTGGGACCAGCAGTTAGCGTAATGGCTATGTCACTGGACTCCCATGCAGTCCACTGCGGTTCGAGTCCCAGACCCGGTAGCTTAAACTCATGCCGGGCACGTGTGCATGCGTGCCCAAGATCCCAAAAGGAGAAGAGACTGCGGCGTGGCCACCCCCCCGGGGGGGTGGGGGGTGATTTCTCGCTTTCTTTCTCTCTGTCTCTGTCTTTCTGGTGAGCTCACGTGCCCTATACAAAAAAAAAAAAAAAACTCTCCAAAAAATAAAATAGTAAACACTATGTGTTTAATGAAAAAAGTATTTTTTTTCCCAAGACTCTCTTTTAATTCATTATTTCAAGGGCAGTAACACGTGGTCTACCAATGGGAAGAGCTGCTGTGAGCAGCGAGACCTGGTGAAGGCAGGAAAGCCTCAACAACAGCAGCCTTGGTGGGGCCCTTGATTTTCCACACCCTCCAGAGAGACAGATGGCAGGCTTTCCAGCCCTCTTCCAGCCCGGTAGCCCCAAAGATCCAGTCCCTGACCCAGCTGCCCTGTGGGCATTTAAGCCTCTGAAAGGTAAGACCTGGTCCCACAGATTCCAAGCCCTGCCAGTAAAACAGCTCTTCTCATACTCACATGACTTTTAAGTCCCAGTCTCCACAGGTGACAAAAATTGACTTGACGTTTGGATCTAAGAGGCCTTCCTTCGCCATCCACTCATCGACCCTCTGAAAAGTACACAAGAATAGATGAGATTTTCCTTTTTTTCCCCCTGAGCCTGTGAAGAGCCACAATAGTGAAACGCAGATAAGCTGCTTGTAATCAGAGCAGGAGAAAACTGTAATCTTATCCAGCCATGGCTCTGCTCTGGGCTCTCAGCCTTGACTCAGAACTATGGAGGTACGTGAAGGACAATCCCTTCAGGAAGATCCCACCAAGTGTGTAGTCGGGGAGCCCCTCTACACCTCCATCATCTGGCAGTCTATCCCAGAGCCCGAATACCTAGCTCTGACCTGTTTGCTCCTCTCAATGGTCCCCAGAGACAAGGCCTAGCACAGATGCAGGCTTCCTTGGGCCATGAGAACACAAGGCCCCAAGCAGGTACTCCAATCCACAGCTCCATGCATGCATGCATGCATATATTCATTCATTCATCTTACCCTTCCACCAAATGTTTATTAACAAAATTTATGAATTCAGTTATTTACCAAATGAAGGTAAAGAAAATTTTCACTTTCAGAAAAGACCCCCTTAGCTGGGCTGGAGCCCTGTCCAGATACCTGGGAGAACACTTCCTGCCATAATCTGGCCCCTAACTTCATATTTTTCCATTTCCTGGTTAAGGATTCAAATTCAGCAGAATATTTTGAAGGCTGAGCTCAGTTCCTACACAGGGAAAGAAACTGCTCCTGAATACACTTGCAGTCTTTCTTTCCTCCGTTCCTTTGGTAAGTGTTATTATTTGCACTCACACTGGAGGTATAAATACTGAGGTCAGTATGTGATGAGAGAATTATCATTGAGAATTCGTAGAACACTGCCCATTTTTCAGAAGAACCAAGGCATGGAGAAAGAGCGCTGCAGATCACTCCACTGTTTCCCCTCAGGCCAGAGGGCTGTGTTTATGGCTCTAATACTAGTTTAAAATGCAGGAGTGAAAGTCAGATACATCTGGTTCCAACCCTTGGCTCTTCCATATCCTGGCTGTGTCACCGATAGGAAGTCATTTAAAAGTCATTTAACCCCCCTGAACCTCAGTTTCCTTCATCTATAAAATGAGGTGGGATGACTAATCCGCAGCTGTTCTGATAATGTATTAGGTGCCTACCACAGAAGAGACAGCAGGCTGAGGAGGGGCACCCCAGACGCAGCGATGGAGAAGTGGCCCGAGTGCTGCAGGACCAAGAGGAGGAAGCGACTAGCTCTACCCTTCATAGGGGAAAGGAGTCAGCAAAGGCTTCACAAAGACGATAATCACGTGAGGAAGTTGATGGCTGGGCTTGCTTGACATGGTGGGACATAGAAAAGGACACGAAGGGCAGAGGCAAAGGCACAGGCACAGTGGTTCTGTGCATGGGAATCGCTTATCCGCTTAATGTCTGCCTTCTTACCAGACAGTAAGCACCATGAAGGCAAGGACTCGATTACTCACTGCTTATTCCCTAACCCAAGCCAGTGTCTACTCAATAGCAACAATATTTGCTGACTGATTGAAAAAATGAGTAGGTGAAAGCTTAGTGTGACCAAAGGCTATAGCATATAAAAGAGAGGGATAGGAAATAAGGCTGGGGACTAGGTAGGTCAGACTGCAAAGGGCTTGTGTGCTGAGAAGGTAATAGAGACTCAGGGCAGCTTTAAGGATGATTATGTCTAGCAGGTGTAGGCTGCTCCCTGAATACCTCTGAGATGCTGGAGGCCTGACTCATGCTAATGCAGTCCTTGACTGAGGCCAAGAAGCCTACTTAGTCCCACGGCTGTCCGACACCCAGAATGCCAGAGTTTCTCCCTAGTGCCAGACCATGTGTTCTCCAAACCCTTATGTCTACGTATCAGAGAGTCCGCCTCAGCTCCCAAGTCTCCTGTGCAGCTAAATTCTGGACCTTCCCCCACTGACTGCTCTGTTTCTCTAGTCGCCTTGGCCTACCCCCTTATACATGCATGTCTGTGTGTACAGACATGCATGTGTGCATACACACAAACATACACACAACATACACCTGCATACACACACCCAAATTCCTTCCCCAGAGTCACCTAAAGAAAATTAGGCAGACTTTGCTCAAGAAAAGAGGTAAGGCAACCCTGGGGCTCCCTAAATCAGCATAACCTCACTCTGGCCTTACACCCTTGCCTCTGTTGCCCCTTCCCCATGCTCCCCACTCCTGTACAGTGGACAAAGAGAGCAGGACAGAGGGGATGGTCAGAAAGCCACATGCTGCAAGACCAGACCTTCACTTTGAGAAGCAGTAACGCTCACCAGGGTCCTTGGAAGATTGGGATCCAATCTATCCACTTATTCAGATTATTTAGTGAGGAGCTTTTATTATCTGCCCACCCAGGGAAGTGATATTACATTTGGAATCAGGCCTGTCCTTTTCCTTCCCTCTCTGCTTGAATGCATAAAAGGTTGGAGGAACCACCAAGACAACCCCAATCAGCTGAGCTTGCAGGTCTAAAGGGGCCGACCCTGAGCTCTACTTAAAGCAAAAGAATTAGACACACATCTAGTCAGCTGCCTGCTCAGGGTCTTGGGTGGGACACAAAATTAGCTCACCAACCAATGCAAGGGGAGTGGCACAAAGCAGAGCCCAGTCTGATCTCCTTGTCCTGACAGAAACTCCTTAGTCAGGTTAATGCCAGAAATCTCCCCTCCTCACCAACACAGTACGTAAAAGTAGCAGAAAGGAGCTTCCTGAGGAGCCCTAGAAATTCAGTCTGCATCTCTCCTCACCACAGAACAGGATCTCTTGTCTGAATGAAGGTCTCCTGCCCCCTCTCCTTGACACTACCCGACTACCCAAGGCTGCCTACTCCAAGGCAGAGGCCCTGCTACTCCCCCAGATGCTCTGCTTTCTCCTGTGCTTTGATAAGGTCTAAGCTTTGAGTTTATTGGTCTTAAAGATAAATAAAGCACCTAATGAGATCCACAGGCTTCTTCTCTTCTCTCATCCCTCTACAGAGAAGGCTGGCCAGTTGAAATTCCCAGGCCAGAGGGGGTGGGGGGACAAGCTGAGACCAAGCACTGTCCTTCCTTACTCCCTCAGGCTAGAGCACAAGAAGCAGCATCTTAACCTTTTCCAGCTCCCCGAGGAGAACATCCTAGAAGTGTGGTCTCTGCCAAGGGTTCTAAAGTCTTTAATTTGATTTCCCTCACATAGGCAATTGTTGTAATTATTCTGATTAGGAATCATTACCCAGTGCAGCCTCTGCACCCCTGACAGGCACAATGCATCCAGCGGCAAGCTGCAGTGGGGCAGGCAAGCCCAGCCGCAGCTCCTAGAGGAGCTGACAGCAAACAAAAGCCATCGATGGGGAGTTCTGGGTGAGTTAATGAAGTGCTCACATGCCACAAGAAGCCAACACTGAAGCTAAACAAAAACACCTCCAGTCCCTGGGGCTAGTCCCGCAGTGCCACTGCTCAGTTCCTCTATTGCCCAGCCCACCCGGCACGGGCTGGTCCTGAGCTGGCCAGCATGGAACCTGGGCCGAGAAGGGGTGGGGGTCCCCCTGCCTGACTCCTGGCAGCACTCGGACATCTTGTCAGTAACCCTGACGGGAACAGCTGGAGATGACAGATCAATGGTTCAATACTCTCAACAGCATGTCACTGATGTGACAGCAAATGTTATTCTAATCAAGCCATAATCATAGTCAAATTACACGGCTACATTCTCAGGAGGGGAGGGAGAGAATGGCAGCAGGAAAGGGTCAGAGGTCAGGAATTAAAGGTCACTCAACCTACCTCCAGCACTTGCTGCAGGCTTGGCTGACCATCCACCATGGCTTGAATAATCCCGGTGAGCTGAAAGAAAAGAGTAACAGCCGATGGATAGGAAAGAGGGTGCAGGGGCTTTGAGGTGAACCGGGTCCTGTCCTTTCTGTTTCTCTCCTTCTCCTGAAAAAGACTCTGACCTAGCACTGCTTTAGATTCACAACCTAACTAGTAGCCTCAGAAATAAAGTGCCAGGGGACAATGACAGCTTCCCCCACAAAATCTTGCCCTGAGATGAGGGTACACATATACATACTGACCACAGAGTATGTTCATTCCTGGTTCAGATGTCATTTGGCAAAAAAATCTGATTGTATATGTCTTCTACATTTGGTTAGCTCAATAACCTCCCACAAATTATAGTCTAAGATTGATTCAACTCCATGGTTCACAAAAGTCCCTCTAACATGTGGGGCACACTCACGCAGGACAGGCGCACTAGGCTTCAAGTGCACCGCTATTCTGAGCCTCAACGCCCAGCATTTCCCTGGCTGCACTCTCCCTAACATCAGCGAAGCCCCACAGGCATCAGCCCTTCATCCTGCACACTTGGTTCCTCAATGCCAACCAGCCGAGCAGGAAACCGAGTCACCTTTAACCAAGGGGAAGCTAAGACAGGAAGGCCTAATGTCCAGGACCTGGTCTACAGAATGCCAGACCCAAGGCCTATGCTCCACACAGGTCAGGCCTGGGTTCAAACAAGTAAAACAAGTTTACAGTAAAAACATCCTCGAGCACAGACAGGGGCAGGCTGCCTCCCAGGATCTGGGGTGTGAGGCCCCCATATACTGGCACCAGCTGGAAAGCACCATGCCCAGCGTGCTCTGGCCACTTCCTGAGAGAGCACATCTCAGGCTTGCTTGGAAACTTTTTTTAAGTGTGGGGGGAGGGATTAAACTCCAATTAAACTATAATTACGTTTAATGAATACCAAATACCCAACTCAGAAACCGCTGGCTCTAAGAGGGAAGGTTATTTTCTCATAGCGACTTACATGGAATGATAATACACACCTTTTAGGGAAGAAATTTTCATTTTAAGAACGCTGAGTTCCTCTAGGTGGGTTTCTGTAGTTCATCAAGTCATTATTAGGTGGTATTTTAAGGAAGTGTAAGGACACAGCCACTCTATTTTATATTCCAGAAACTGTTTTTATATTAATCTGTATTTTAATTGGGTAACAGCTGCTGCCTACAGACTTCCCATGGTCTAAAAGGAAAATAAATTAGAAAGATTAACTACACTGTTGTTTCGCAAGGCTTTAACCCACAGCATGCCCACCCGGCTGGCACCTCCACATCCTTTCCTTGCTTTGGAGACCAAAGAACTGCCCAGCAGAGGGAGGGCCTGAGTCAAGGAGAGGAAGAGACGGTTCTCCGGGCTGGGGACGGGGTACAGATGGGGAAGTGACCTGGGTCAGCAGCTTCTGCTCAACAACTGCATTCACAGAGAGCATCCTATGTGCTGGGCCCTTTTCTAGGAACTAGGGATGCAGCAGGGAAGAAAAACACAAAAACCTAGCCCCCATGGAGCATACCCCTCCTATTCCCAGCTAGTAGCCAGAGCCTGTATATCCTCCAGAGCCACACACTGAGCAGGCTGTGGCCTGTGTTTCCTCTCAGGCAGGCAAGGCTCAGGGAGAGTGAACAGGTTTGTTCAAAGTTCCACGTCCATCATCTAGACTACAGATTGACATCCACGTCCCCACTGCTGCCCATTCTGGCCTAGCTACTCTCCTGCTGGTCTTTCTAGGGCTCTCGTACATCCTCAAGCTTAAAGATGGGGCTTAAGGGGAGGACTATCCTGAAAAAGAGGACCTGGAAGCACTCTCACTTCTCAGAAAGCACCAAGGTCTAAGGTCAGTCTTGGGTCTGGTCTGAGTCCTGGGACAAGGTTAGGTCCACTCCTTTCCCTAGACTCCCATCAAGGGTCACTCAGATGAGCTGAACTCCAAAGGGCTTCAGGAGCGGCTCACTCACACAGGAAACCAACGGCATTCTTGTCAAGATTCTTCCTTCCCTGGAGAAGGGGTTTAGGTCAGCACCTGTGTCACCCTATAAGCACCTATCTTGAGTCCCAGGAAAAGCTATGATGCAGGGCATGAAAACCACTACACCAAAAAGGAAAACCAGAGCCAGTAGGTGGTGCAGAAGTTAAAGCAGCTGGATTCCACATGGCCGACTATACAGTTTGAGTCCTGGACCCAGCAGCGTGGGAATCACACTGGGTGTGTGTGTGCATGTAAGTCCAAAATTCAGACAGGAGGAAGGATGAGAAGGGACTGTGACATGGCTATCCCTCTGGGGGAGTGCTTTCTCATTCTGTCTCTGGCCAGTACACACATCCTATACAAAAAAGAAAGAAAGAAAAGAAACAAAAAGGAAAACCAGGGTGCTGCTGAAGTGTCCTGCTGCAGGATCCCTCACTGAAGACTTGGCTGGCATCTGGGGCTCGAGGTGGGGGTGGGAAGCTCCAGCATCCTAGGACTTTCACACACTCCACTCGAGTGCTGGCTCCTCCAGTCAGAATCATCAGGCTGGCAGGACTCTAGCGAGGTCAACTCCCTCTCTCTCCATGCCTTCCAGAAATCAAGCATTTTCACTTTTGGCCCAACAAAGCTGGCTTACAGCCTTGTTTACAGTTCCTAAAAGGATTTGAACTCAACCTCCACGTGCAGAGGCTTGAGCTATTGGCTCAATTAGATGTGACTTCTAGGGGGAGGCCTCACACACCTGTATTAATCTCTCCAAAGACAGACTACCTCTTATCAGCTCTGCCAAGGCACTGTATGAAGGGGTGAAATTAAGAAAGTTGGTCCCAGGGACCAGCATATAGTGTAATGGCTACATCGCTGGACTCCCATGTAGTTGACCGCGGTTCGAGTCCTGGACCTGGTGGCTTAAACTCATGCCGGGCACATGTGCGTGCATGCCCAAGATCCTGAGAGGAGAATGGAGGAAAAGGGATTGCAGCATGGCCGTCTCCCTGGGGGGTGATTTGTCGCTTTCTGTCTCTCTGTCTCTCTCTGTCTTTCTGGCAAGCGCATGCGCTCTCAAAAAAATTTTAAAAAAGAAGTTGGTTGGTCCCTATACCTGATGCTGACAACCTGCGAGGCACCTGTAAGACTTACATAGGAAGCTGTAGGGAAGAAAGACAACTTTATAAAATGACTACTAGGAAGCTCTACTTTAGACCTAACTGAAATCCTTCATGCTACAGTTTGAGCCTATTCCCACTTCTGTTAACAAGTGTTTGTAGAAAGCTTTCACACTCTCACAGTGACAGGTACTAGAGCAATGCCAAGCATTATCAGGCAGAGAACCAGGGCTCATAGGCTAGAGCTCAGGGATCTTAACTACTTAAAGCAGGAGAGGTGAGAGGAAGAATTAATGTGTGCTCTGTGGCTCCTTTCACTGAGGGATTACAGATTAACTCCCACTTCTCTAGACTCAGAAACCACCAGGCAAGAGGCTTTTGACCCTAACTGATAACAGGGCTGGTTACTGAGATCCCCTACCACACAAAGGCTTTGTCCAGGAGCGAGCTGGCCTCAACATAAACACCAGCAACTATGGGATGCAGCTCAAGGAACTCAGTGCCAATAGCACGTCAGTATCTAGCACTTTTTCCTTCACAGTTTATCTCCAACACAATCGTATTCTGACACCAAGACAGTTTGTTGATTACATAAGCACTTGTCTCTGGTGTGCAATCTGATAATCAGACCCACTCTTTCTTCTCGGACAAAGAGACCAATAAATCTCACTCTTTATAAGTACAGGTGCAACACAAAGCCCTTTACTGGCATTTAGCAAAATGGCTATTTTTCTAGTTTTTTCACCACCATCATGACAAAAGACTGTACGTGGTCAGGGACGACGCCAAGGACCAGCTGCTAGAACAGAGACCCGATAGAGTGGAGCAGATTCTACGGGTCACAGAAAAAGAGTTTGGGGAAGCATGAAATACATTCCATCCTGTCTCTGCTGGAACCAAGTCTTCAGGGAGACTGATGACTGGAATTATGGAAGGATCACAAGAAGGCTGACAGCACATCCAGTGCACAGAGCAGTAATGGTGAAAGACTCACTCAAGGCATAATCCTCCTCCTTGTCGTCCAGCACTGAGGATTTTATTCATCATTAAAATAGTGATTTTGGGGTCAGCCAGTGGCATGGTGGTTAATGCAGCTGGATCCCAAGTGGTCAACTGTGAGGTTCAAGTCCTTGACCCAGTGGCTTGAAAAACAAGCCAGACATGTGTGTATACATGCCCAAAATATGTAGAGAAGAACAGAGAAAGGACTGTGGCATGGCTATCTCCTCCGGGTTGCTTTTTCACATTCCTCCCAGCCCCCACCTCTGGCTCTCTCCAGGGAGCACAAGTGCCCTATAGCAAAACTAACAACAAAAACAGGTGATTTTCACAAGGGGCAGAATTACCTCTAGCACCCCCTGGTGGTAGAGGTAATTCCCAGAGGAAAGGGGTAAAACTGGAAGGAACAGGAATTTTCGCATCTGATGGAACAAAAGGCTAAGAGTAAATACCTTGGCAGATGGATGCCTACAAGAAAAGGCCCTCCTGGGTCGGGTGGCAACACTGACTAGTCCAGGAGCAGCCCTCATATCTGGGTTAAGCCAGCCTCATGCCCACTGAACCCTCACACCAGTGTCAGGCAGGTCCTTCCCCAGCCTCCACCGAACCAAGAGATTGTTTTGGAATTACTCAAGAACATCTTTCCTCCTTTTGACACACATATAAAAGGCAGGTCTCTAAATGAAGGCTCAAATGTACCTCAGCCCCAAATTCTTAAAAGATTCCAGGAACACCCATGTTTCCCAATCTCTGCTACTGCACAGTCTTGGCCTGTGATCCCACCACGGTGTGTTGGCTACCACAGAGGGCATGACACATAGCTCAGGGAAAACAGTCACAAAAGGCCCCTCTCCCAACAGTCCTGAGAGCCAGAACTCTCCGGGGTTCCACCACTCTACCAATTGCTCTTTTGATCTTCCAGCAAGCATTAAATCTCAGTCCCAGTTTTACAATCTACAAAATGGGGTTAATACCAGCCTGCTGGCAAGGTGCCAAGTTCAGCACCAGCCTAGGATAAGGACATCTCACCTTGGCCAGCCCATCTGCAGGCTCCACTCAGATTGCCGTTCTCTTTCCTTGGTGACAGAATGTATTTCACTCAGACTCAATCTAGGCTTCACGCAGGGCCACTTTATCAACGGGCAGAGTAACATCTCTAGAACTCTAAGAAAGCCTGTGCAAAATCTTTCCTTGAGAGAGTCTAAAATTTTCACCTTTTGCCAAAGGGCCCTAAGGGAAAGGGAAGTGCCTCAAAAACACCATCCTGCTCCACACCAGGAAGGATGAGGATGACAAGGAAGGGACAATTCTGGTGAAATGCAATGAATGCAGTGCTCCAAGTGGAATGGCAGATATAAAAAGCCAATTGCCAGGGCCAGTGTGCATCTGCTCGTAAGACTTAAGCTTTCCCCAAGTGGACTGAATAGAGCACCAGTGATCCAAAGCTCCTCTCCCAGCAGCCCTTGCTGCTCACCTCTTGGGTCCTTACCTCTGTACAGAAGGGGGTAAGCTGCGGATGGACTACAGGTTGGACATACATGTGAAAGGTAGACTCAATCTCCATGGTCCGGCCATTTAACTTCAGGATGGGGAATTCAATGATTTCCTGGAATGCCAAAGATGCAGAAAAGGTAGAAAAAGTTATTTTAACCAACCATTTCAAACAATAACTCCAAGTCAAGAAAGGATGAGTGTGTTAAACCCAATGGCTCCTGAGCTACAATCCTAACCTGCCACTGCTAGTACACTCAGGTTCCAGGGCTAGACACAGCCCAAACCCCACTGTTTTGGAAAGGGAAAAGAACACAGCAGTATAATCCAAAAATATAGCCAGTTTTCCCTAACTGATGTTCTATCAATAGAAGAGACCTGTTCGTTTGAGTTCCTAAAAGTTAACCCTTCTTCCCCTTGCCCATATCCCTGTCCTGGAATGGGTCTGGATCTCCAGCCATCTAGACACCAGCCATTTGGCCAATACATATATTTCCTCATATGAAGTTCAAACAGAGCTGGTGAGTTTCTTCATTGGTTTTTATTAAAAAAAAAAAAAAGAAAGAAAGAAAGAAAGAAAGAAAGAAAGAAAGAAAGAAAGAAAGAAAGAAAGAAAGAAAGAAAGAAAGAAAGAAAGAAAGAAAGAAAGAAAGAAAGAAAGAAAGAAAGAAAGAAAGAAAGAAAGAAAGAAAGAAAGAAAGAAAGAAAGAAAGAAAGAAAGAAAGAAAGAAAGAAAGAAAGAAAGAAAGAAAGAAAGAAAGAAAGAAAGAAAGAAAGAAAGAAAGAAAGAAAGAAAGAAAGAAAGAAAGAAAGAAAGAAAGAAAGAAAGAAAGAAAGAAAGAAAGAAAGAAAGAAAGAAAGAAAGAAAGAAAAAAGAAAAAAAGAAAAAAAAAAAAAAAGAAAGAAAGAAAAAAGAAAAAAAGATAAATAATAAATAAAGCCAAAGGGGATACCAAAGAGAAGGAAAAAATGGAATAGGAATAATAAGAGCTAGTGTCTCCCACCTTTCCTTCAGGCATATATCCTTCCCCCCTCCCACCTCCCCCTACCCAATCGTTTAGCCAGCCCTTCCCAGCCCATGGAACGTAATAGAAGAGAAGGAGGAGGAGTGACAATTTGTTTGGTGTCTCTAAGATTAATTTGTCTCCGTTATTTAATAGAGATGCACAGCACCAAGGTCCTGGTGTGCAAACAGGCTTGCAGAACGCTGGCCGTGCAGCACACCTCATACATCGCTCCTAGGAAGGGAGGAACGCACCAGAGGGGGGAGAGGGCAGGAGAGAGCACAAGTGCGCCGAGAGAAGACAGAAAACAAGGAGAGAGAATAAAAAAAATTATTGCTTTTTAATATTCAAAAACAGTTTGCAAAATTTAATCAAAGCAGAGGAAAAGCTAACATTTTTACCACTTTGACATTTTTATTAGCGCTTTCATAAATTTTTAAAACATGAATGGAATTAGTTTACAACACAAAAAAACTGCCCTGAAAACATCTGGAAGAGACAAATAGGAAATAATAAAAAAAATAAATAAAAGCAAAACCCTCTGAGTAAAATTAGCATGTGGAAAAGGCCTCCACTGCAGTAAGGGAAAGGGGGCTTTGCCCACCCCGTGGCCCCAACAGTCAGTCTAGTGGCCTCCCTGCCCCAGATTCCCTGTTCTGAAGAGGACCTTTCCAGTATCGCTGAAATGAAGGCAAACTGGTTCTCTCCAGAGACAGCCTGGAGAAGCAGCACAGAGACTGATGACATCTGCCGATACTTAGGAAATGAATGGGTGGGAAGACAAGGAGAAATAGTCAATCTCCTTGAGGTCCTAAGGAACCCAGGTATCCTCCCCCTAAAACATACTCACTAATATTGGGCTTGTTGTTAACACATCTATTTCTGTCCAACACTTAACAGCAGGACTGAATACCAAATCAAAGCAGCCAGACTTCATGCCAGAGACATTCAAAGGTTCTGGCTGCCTGGTCTTCCTGGGCTGAGCCCCAAAGATGGAAAGCTGATAGAAGCTTATTGCCAGAGAAAGGAAGGACAAAACAGCTGCGAGGCTGAGGCAGAGGGCCATGAAAGGAGGCTACCTGCTGCTTAACACTGCTCCTCCCAATGTGAAAAGTCAATTTCCTGAGTCTCCTGCTCCCCACAAAGCATTACAAAACAGGTCCAGTAGAGGGGGATTTTGCTCCGAAAAACAAAATTGACGCATACAAACAAAACACACACTGGTCCCCCTGAAAAATCAGACATCCCAGATTTCCAAGCACCAACTCTAAGGTGTAGCCCATCTGAGCCCCACTCATGTGACTTGAACTTCTGAAATATCCTTCCTCCACCACTAAATGCAGACATAAATCCCCAACAAAAAGGGCTCTACAGCCCTGGTAAGTTTGGCTGCCCTAGTGTCCAAGGAAACAAATACAGCCAGCTCCTCACTAACAATGTTAGCTGGGCCCACAATGAAATTTAACCTGTGACACAACTGTACTTTTCATTTAAACTTTCATTTGGAGAGAAGCAGTGTTTGGAGACCTGCAGTTTGTCCTGCTAATAAAGACAAGTGTTGGGACCTTTAAGGATGCCATTCATCTTTGGCTTTTATTAAATTCAATTTTCTTAAGCCCATGATACATTATGAAATTTAGAGTTGACATTCCTCTGGAAACAAAAATATCTATCAGACATAAATAGAAAAAAAAACCTCTATTACCAAGAATTTATGATTTAAAGTTGATCTCTTTTCACTTTTTTTACAAGCACACGGTTTGTTTTAGATATCTGAAATGTTTTTATAGATCCAAAATTTCATTAGTATTTATTATAAAATGGAACATGCTTCAGCTCCCACCCTGACCAGCACCAAGTCATCTCTGAAAAACTTGGCTTTTGCGTTTCCTCACTGCAGTTCAGTATCCAAATTTGCCTGTCGCTGGCTTCCTCATCCACAGGGAAACATAATCAACCCAAGTGCTCAACTAAGGGTCATCTCCCAGAGAGGAAGAAATAGCCTCAGCTCCATGCCAAAAACAAAAACAAAAACAAAACAAAACATGTAGATCCCCGAAATGCCTTGGCATTGCTGGCTTATCAGCTCAGTCTTCTCCCCAAGACCAACAAGAGAGACTTTCAAGTGCCAGTCTCAAAAAAGGACTTTGCAGGGACCTACCTCAGCAGCATCAGAAGCTGTTTTAACAAGGAGTCTACACAGTGGCATATTCATCTGAGCTGTTAAGGATGCAAAAGGGACCTTCTGAAGAAGACCCTCTGAGAAGTCAGAGCAGAAAGGATCTCACTTAAGTATTTATCTTCCCATATTGCCCAGACAGCCCAGAATCTCAACATATTGGCCCCAACAGTCCAGCCTTCTGAAAGGAGCCTCCATCTGCACTAAGTTGGCACGACTCTATAGCCAACGCACCTGGGGCATGCCAGACATTTCCTCGACAGTTTTTATCTGATAATGATCAGAGATGTAATCCCAACATTACAAGTTGATGACATCGATTCCAAGCCCAGGATTTGTGAACATGTGCCCAAGTGCCAGCTTCTAGGTCCAGTTGGTCAGATAATCAAACTATTATTCCTGCCCCTCTCCTTTTCCCTCATCCAATTTCATCATTCCCTTAGGAAGAGTTTGTTTTAAGACAGTTGTCTGCTTATGTAAAGTAGCTCCGGAAGGAAGGAATAACTTGCATTTACCAGCCCTCTTTCCTTCCTCTAAGAATGGTCCCACAATTCCTTACTTTTGTGTGCCTTCACATTTAACTACACTACCTGAGCTCCTTTATTTTTTTAAGAATTTTTTTATTGAACTTTATTTATTTTAATTTGACCAGAGATGGACAGAGTAAGAGTGAGAATAAGTGAGAGAGAGAGAGAGAAAGTGAGAAAGCAAGCCACCAGGCCCAGGACTCAAACCGCAGTCGGCCATGTGGGAGTCCAGAGCCCTTAACCACCACACCACTTGCTAGCCCCCTGAGCTCCTTTTTTGTGTAGGACATCACACAGGTGTTGGAGTGGGATTTAGAGATACAGCCAGTCTCTGCTTGGAGAACTGAAATGCACACACTAATGAGCAGGAAAGACAAGTGAACAAATAATGACGAGTGCACTAGGATACTTAGTCATGGTTTCCCATTTACAAAGGTGTACTTTCATATTTATCTTCTTCTTCTACCCTTATTAGTCCTGGGAAATAGGTAAGCTCATCATCATCATCACCACATACTATGAGAGACCTACTATTTACCAGGCAGGGGCTGAATGTGGACACAGATGAATACAATGACATGTGGCACCTCTCTTTGAGATGCTAAGAGTCTGGGCAAAGGATGGAGAGGACCTGGTCTCTAACACTCACCAAGACACGTGGAGAGTGGAATCACCTCATTTCTTCCGTTTATTGTTCACTATGTAGCAGACACTGTGCTAAGTGCTAATAAGAATGATCTCATTTATTCCTTCTAACACCTCGTGAGGTAGGAATCATTATTAATCCCTATTTCACAAATAAACTAAGGCACAAAGAAGTTAAGTCACTTGGTCACTTGCTCATGGTTTTACTGTTAGTATGAGACAAGCTGGGACTCCAAACAGGAAAAACAAGCCTTAAAGAGAGTAGGAGTACCAGCTTTCAAAATCTGAAGGGTTGAGGAAGATCTGACTCTCTTAACCGGAAAGGGTATCCTGTAGAGAACTTGGTTTACTATGTCCTAGAATGAAAGGCTGTTCTCAAACTGTAAGAACAATGAATGTCGACTACCCAAGCAGCAAGTCCTAGAGGGCTGGTATGGCTACAGTCACCCAGACGGCTCTGGGTTAAGAGCTTAGGAGGGCAGGAGCCATGAGCCCTCAGCTTGCATCTCCAGCACCTACCTCCCCTTCTGGCACATAGTCCTCACTCTCTCAACTCTGGCTGGGTGGACATATAAGGGTGGAAGGTGGATGACAAGTGCTTGGCTCTAACAAAAGACATTATGCTCTCACAGAACTTGCTCACAGGATCAGAGAGTTGAAATGACCTAGAGATGATAAAGATGCTAGGTGGCAGAGACAGGATTCAAACTCAGACATTTAACCCTCCAAAGCATCTTCTGTCAGATCCACTCTCTCATCT